GTCCTTCACGAGCCTCCTCCACTGAGGCCGATCTTGACACCGCTGGTACCAGTCATCGGCAAGTCCACTCAGCTCCACGTCCTCCTGTACCACATCACTCCATCTCTTCTCCAGCCCGTGCCGCGCCCGTCTAGCCCCCTCGATCCGGCCGAACAAAAGCTGTTTAGGCATGCGGTGGCTGGGCATGCGGGCTACATGACCCAGCCAACGCAGCCTTGCCTGCCGGAGGAGCTCACTGATGGGACTTTGCCCAGATCTTTCAAGGATTTGTGAGCTCCTCACACAATCCAGCCTGGTTAAACCCAGGATGGATCGTAGGCAGGCCAGCCTAAATGTTTCCAACCGGCGAAGATGCTCCACCAGGGGGGTCCACGTCTCGCAAGCGTAGAGAAGGGAGGGAATGACCGTGGCCGAGAAGACCTGAAGCTTCGTGCGGAGCGACAGACCAGGTAGCTTCCACACAGCGTTACGCAACCGATGAAAAGATATTGCCGCTCGACTGATTCGGAGTGAGACCTCTGCTGATAGACTGGAGCCGGTCATAAGCACACTGCCCAGGTATGGGAAACTCTCCACTCTCTCCACAACTGCCCCATCACCAATTGGGAGTTGTGGGGGTGGAGTGTCCGATGGTACAAAATACCCAGGCAGGTGCTTGGTTTTGGTGGGGCTGATGGTAAGGCCCCACCTCCTAGTGGCACGCTCCAGTCTCAGCAGCAGCGCCTCCAACTCCTCTTCTGAATGAGCAGCTATTACCAAATCATCGGCATACATAACGTGGTTGACCAATAGGGAGCCACAGGTACACACACACACACACACAGGTACACACACACACAGACACACGGGTACACACACACAGGTACACACACAGATACACACACAGACACAGGTACACACACAGACACAGGTACACACACAGACACAGGTACACACACACACAGACACACAGGTACACACACAGGCACACACACACAGGTACACACACACAGGTACACACACACAGCTACACACACACACAGGTACACACAGGTACACACACACAGACACACACACACACAGGTACAGACACACACACACTGGGGGACGGACTCTCAGGGCAGCCCTGCATCTGATTGATCCCGTGACGATGCATCCGCGCAGGAAACGACCGCGTATCCGAACACAGCCATCTCAGAAGCACACAAACAGAACATCAAACGGCGACGCGGGTCGAGGCGCTAAGAACACCCCACGGAATCTCACTCGGTCGAAACCAGCGTCATGCCTTCAGTCGGTCACGTGGCTTCTGTGTCACTCCCACTCACTCAACAACCGCCATTCGCCACTAAGTGGCGGTAACGTCACCACGACGCTTGTGCCTGGCCATGTGCACCTTGAGGCCACGTGAAGTGTCGAACGCCCGCTCACACACTCACTCACACACTCATTCACTCACACACTAATTCACTCACGCACTCATTCACTCACACTCATTCACTCACACACTCACTCACCCATACATACACTCACTCACCCACTCACGTACTAATTCACTCACACACCCACTCACTCACTCACCCACTCACTCACTCACCCACTTACTCACTCTCCCACTCACTCACTCACTCACCCACTCACCCACGTACTCATTCACCCACACACTCATTCACTCACTCATTCACTCACACATTCATTCACTCACACACTAATTCACTCACACACGCATTCACTCACACACTCATTCACTCATTCACTCATACACTCATTCACTCATTCACTCACACACTCACACACTCATTCACTCACACACTCACACACTCACTCATTCACTCATCCACTCACCCACTCACTCATCCATACACTCATTCACTCACACACTCATTCACTCACGCACTCATTCACTGACACACTCATTCACTCACACACTCATACACTCACGTACTAATTTACTCACACACTCATGGACTCACACACTCACTCACCCATACACTCACATACTAATTCACTCACACACTCATTCACTCATACACTCATTCACTGACACACTCATTCATTCACACACTCATACACTCACATACTAATTTACTCACACACGCATTCACTCACACACTCATTCACTCACCCACACACCCACTCACTCACCCACTCACTCACTCACCCACTCACTCACCCACTCACTCACCCACTCACCCACTCACTCACTCACCCACTCACCCACCCACCCAATCACTCACCCACCCACCCACTCACCCACTCACTCACTCACCCAATCACCCACCCCATGTGTGTGTATGTCAGGTGTGTGTCTGTGTGTGTGTGTATGTTTCGAGTGTGTGTGTCTGTGTGTGTGTCTTCATGTTGTGTCTGTGTGTGTGTCTGTGTGTGTGGCAGTCGCCCTCCAACAACAACGGAGGGCGGAGGAGCGACGCTCACAACAACGAACGGAGCGCCGGGTGGCTAAAGCACAGCAAGTTGGCACAGTAGGGAGCACAGGTGGTGCATCAGCCAGTCATCTCGGTCATCTCAGTCAGTCGACCCGTAGCACCTGCTGGGTCTGCCCCGTGATCTCCTGCCAGCGGGCGTTCGACACTTCACGTGGCCTCAAGGTGCACATGGCCTGGCACAAGCGTCGTGGTGACGTCACCGCTTAGTGGCGAATGGCGGTTGTTGTTGTTGTTGTTGTGTCTGTGTGTATGTCTGTGTGTGTCCGTGTCTGTGCGTGTGTGTGTCTGTGTGTGTCTGTGTGTGTGTGTGTGTCTGTGTGTGTGTGTCTGTGTGTGTGTCTGTGTGTGTGTGTCTGTGGTGTGTGTCTGTGCGTGTGTGTCTGTGTGTGTCTGTGTGTGTGTGTCTGTGTGTATGTGTCTGTGTGTGTGTCTGCGTGTGTGTGTCTGCGTGTGTGTGTCTGTGTGTCTGTGTGTGCGTGTGTATGTGCGTGTCTGTGTGTGTGTGTCTGCGTGTGTATGTGTGTGTATGTGTGTGTGTCTGTGTGTGTCTGTGTGTGTGTGTCTGTGTGTGTGTGTGTCTGTGTGTGTGTCTGTGTGTGTGTGTCTGTGTGTGTGTCTGTGTGTGTCTGTGTGTGTGTCTGTGTGTGTGTCTGTGTCTGTGTGTGCGTGTCTGTGTGTGTGTCTGTGTGTGTGTGTCTGTGTGTGTGTTTCTGTGTGTGTGTGTCTGTGTGTGTGTCTGTGTGTGTGTGTCTGTGTGTGTGTCTGTGTGTGTGTGTCTGTGTGTGTGTCATCTCGGTCAGTCGACCCGTGGCACCTGGGTCTGCCCCGTGACCTCCTGCCAGCGGGCTTTCGACACTTCACGTGGCCTCAAGGTGCACTTGGCCTGGCACAAGCATCGTGGTGACGTCACCGCCACTTAGTGGCGAATGGCGGTTGTTGTGTGTGTGCATGTAAAATGCGGGTAAACTCCGGGTTAAACCGGGACAGTTGGTACCCCCCCCCACCACCCCCCCCCCCCCCCCCCCGTGTGACGATGATGATGACGACACCGAGTTGCTCCGCGTGCATCAAACGCCCCAGGGGCAACTTGGCCACGCGCCAGTGGAAGGGGGCGGAGCTTGTGACGCTGTTCGCGTCCCCCACGAGGCCCCGAGGGCACTCGGCACGCGCGAAGCTGCATCGTGTGGTGAGCCTCGTGCCTCCCACACACACAGACGGCTCACCTGTATCACCACCTGTATCACCACCTGTATCATCACCTGTATCACCACCTGTATCACCACCTGTATCACCACCTGTATCACCTACCTCACCTGTATCACCTGTATCACCACCTGTATCACCACCTGTATCACCTACCTCACCTGTATCACCACCTGTATCACCACCTGTATCATCACCTAACTCACCTGTATCACCTGACTCACCTGTATCACCACCTGTATCACCACCTGTATCATCACCTAACTCACCTGTATCACCTGACTCACCTGTATCACCACCTGTATCACCACCTGTATCATCACCTAACTCACCTGTATCACCTGACTCACCTGTATCACCACCTGTATCATCACCTGTATCACCTACCTCACCTGTATCACCACCTGTATCACCTGTATCACCACCTGTATCATCACCTAACTCACCTGTATCACCTGACTCACCTGTATCATCACCTGTATCATCACCTGTATCATCACCTAACTCACCTGTATCACCTGACTCACCTGTATCATCACCTGTATCACCACCTGTATCACCTAACTCACCTGTATCACCTAACTCGCCTAACTCACCTGTATCACCACCTGTATCATCTAACTCACCTGTATCACCACCTGTATCACCACCTGTATCATCACCTGTATCATCACCTAACTCACCTAACTCACCTGTATCACCTAACTCACCTAACTCACCTAACTCACCTGTATCACCTGTATCACCTAACTCACCTGACTCACCTAATTCACCTGACTCACCTGTATCACCTAACTCACCTGTATCACCTGACTCACCTAACTCACCTAACTCACCTGTATCACCTGACTCACCTAACTCACCTAACTCACCTGTATCACCTGACTCACCTAACTCACCTGACTCACCTAACTCACCTAACTCACCTGACTCACCTAACTCACCTGACTCACCTGACTCACCTGACTCACATAACTCACCTGTATCACCTAACTCACCTGACTCACCTAACTCACCTGTATCACCTAACTCACCTAACTCACCTGACTCACCTGTATCACCTAACTCACCTGTATCACCTAACTCACCTGACTCACCTAACTCACCTGACTCACCTGTATCACCTAACTCACCTGACTCACCTAACTCACCTGACTCACCTAACTCACCTAACTCACCTGTATCACCTAACTCACCTGTACCAGCTAACTCACCTGACTCACCTAACTCACCTGTATCACCTAACTCACCTGTATCACCTGACTCACCTAACTCACCTAACTCACCTGACTCACCTAACTCACCTGTATCACCTAACTCACCTGACTCACCTAACTCACCTGACTCACCTAACTCACCTGACTCACCTGACTCACCTAACTCACCTGTATCACCTAACTCACCTAACTCACCTAACTCACCTGTATCACCTAACTCACCTGACTCACCTGACTCACCTAACTCACCTGTATCACCTGACTCACCTAACTCACCTGACTCACCTAACTCACCTGACTCACCTGACTCACATAACTCACCTGTATCACCTAACTCACCTGACTCACCTAACTCACCTGTATCACCTAACTCACCTAACTCACCTGACTCACCTGTATCACCTAACTCACCTGTATCACCTAACTCACCTGACTCACCTAACTCACCTGACTCACCTGTATCACCTAACTCACCTGACTCACCTAATTCAGCTGACTCACCTAACTCACCTAACTCACCTGTATCACCTAACTCACCTGTACCAGCTAACTCACCTGACTCACCTAACTCACCTGTATCACCTAACTCACCTGTATCACCTGACTCACCTAACTCACCTAACTCACCTGACTCACCTAACTCACCTGTATCACCTAACTCACCTGACTCACCTAACTCACCTGACTCACCTGACTCACCTAACTCACCTGACTCACCTAACTCACCTGACTCACCTAACTCACCTGTATCACCTAACTCACCTAACTCACCTGACTCACCTGTATCACCTAACTCACCTGACTCACCTGTATCACCTCACTCACCTGACTCACCTGACTCACCTAACTCACCTGCATCACCTGACTCACCTGCATCACCTAACTCACCTGACTCACCTAACTCACCTGACTCACCTGTATCACCTGACTCACCTGACTCACCTGTATCACCTGTATCACCTGACTCACCTGACTCACCTGTATCACCTGTATCACCTGACTCACCTGTATCACCTAACTCACCTAACTCACCTAACTCACCTGACTCACCTGACTCACCTGTATCACCTGACTCGCCTAACTCACCTGACTCACCTAACTCACCTAACTCACCTGACTCACCTAACTCACCTGTATCACCTGACTCACCTGACTCACCTAACTCATCTAACTCACCTGTATCACCTGACTCACCTGACTCACCTGTATCATCACCTGTATCACCTGACTCACCTGTATCATCTAACTCACCTGACTCACCTAACTCACCTGTATCATCTAACTCACCTGACTCACCTGACTCACCTAACTCACCTAACTCACCTGACTCACCTAACTCACCTGTATCACCACCTGTATCACCTAACTCACCTGTATCATCTAACTCACCTGACTCACCTAACTCACCTGACTCATCTAACTCACCTGTATCACCTAACTCACCTAACTCACCTAACTCACCTGTATCACCTAACTCACCTAACTCACCTGACTCACCTAACTCACCTAACTCACCTGACTCACCTGTATCACCACCTGTATCACCTAACTCACCTGACTCACCTGTATCAACTGACTCACCTGTATCACCACCTGTATCACCTAACTCACCTGACTCACCTAACTCACCTGTATCACCTGACTCACCTGTATCACCACCTGTATCACCTAACTCACCTGACTCACCTGTATCACCTGACTCACCTAACTCACCTGACTCACCTGTATCACCTGACTCACCTAACTCACCTGTAGCACCTAACTCACCTGTATCACCTGACTCACCTGTATCACCTGACTCACCTAACTCACCTGACTCACCTAACTCACCTGTATCACCTGACTCACCTAACTCACCTGACTCACCTAACTCACCTGTATCACCTGACTCACCTGTATCACCTGACTCACCTAACTCACCTAACTCACCTGTATCACCTGACTCACCTAACTCACCTAACTCACCTGTATCACCTGACTCACCTGACTCACCTAACTCACCTGACTCACCTGACTCACCTAACTCACCTGTATCACCTGACTCACCTGACTCACCTAACTCACCTGTATCACCTGACTCACCTGTATCACCTGACTCACCTAACTCACCTAACTCACCTAACTCACCTGTATCACCTGACTCACCTAACTCACCTAACTCACCTGACTCACCTAACTCACCTAACTCACCTGACTCACCTAACTCACCTGACTCACCTGACTCACCTAACTCACCTGTATCAGGGAGGGGTGGGGGTGAGAGGGAGTGAGGTGAGAGAGGGGGGGAGGGAGGGAGGGAGGTGAGAGAGGGGGGAGGGAGGGAGGGAGGTGGGGGAGCAAGGCGAGATGAGATGAGAGGGGGTGGGGGTGAGAGGGAGAGAGGTGAGAGCGGGGGGAGGGAGGGAGTGAGGTGAGAGAGGGGGGAGGGAGGGAGGGAGGTGGGGGAGCAAGGCGAGATGAGATGAGAGGGGGGGGGGGGAGGAGCTTTGCAGGAAACGGAGAGAGTTGCCCGTCAGACGATGCAGACGTCGCCTCCCGGAACCCTCCCACCCGATGCGCAGGTGAGCGTGAGAAGTCGGAGACAGACGCAGACAGAGACACAGACAGAGAGACAGAGACACAGAGAGAGACAGAGAGACACAGACAGAGAGACAGAGAGAGACAGAGACACAGAGAGACAGAGACACAGAGAGACAGAGACACAGAGAGAGACAGCGACACAGAGAGAGAGAGAGACACAGAGAGAGAGAGACAGAGAGACAGAGACAGACAGAGATAGACAGACAGAGACACAGACAGAGAGACAGAGACACAGAGAGAGACAGAGAGACACAGACAGAGAGACAGAGAGAGACAGAGACACAGAGAGAGAGAGAGACACAGGGAGAGACAGAGACACAGAGACACAGAGACACAGAGAGACAGAGACACAGAGAGAGAGAGAGACACACACAGAGAGACAGACAGAGACAGAGACATACATAGATAGACAGACAGAGACACAGACAGAGAGACAGAGACACAGAGAGACAGAGACACAGAGAGACAGAGACACACAGAGAGAGAGAGAGACACACAGAGAGACAGACAGAGACAGACAGAGATAGACAGACAGAGACACAGACAGAGAGACAGAGACACAGAGAGAGACAGAGACACAGAGACACAGAGAGACAGAGACACAGAGAGAGAGAGACACAGAGAGACAGACAGAGATAGACAGACAGAGACACAGACAGAGACAGACACAGACAGACAGAGACAGAGAGACAGAGAGACATACAGAGACAGAGAGAGACACAGACAGAGACAGAGACACACACAGAGACATACAGAGACACACAGAGAGAGACAGAGATAGACACACAGAGAAGAGAGGGAGACAGACAGAGACACACAGACAGAGACACAGAGACAGACAGAGACACAGAGAGACAGAGAGACAGACAGAGAGACAGACAGAGACACAGACAGAGACAGACAGAGACACAGACAGAGAGACAGAGAGACAGACACAGAGACAGACAGAGACACAGAGAGACAGAGAGACAGACAGAGAGACAGACAGAGAGACAGACAGACACAGACAGAAACAGACAGAGACAGAGAGACATAGAGACAGAGCAGAGAGACAGAGCAGAGAGACAGAGCAGAGAGACAGACAGAGACACAGACAGAGACAGACAGAGACACAGACAGAGAGACAGAGAGACAGACACAGAGACAGACAGAGACACAGGCAGACACACACAGACATAGACAGACACACAGACACAGACAGACACACAGACACACAGACAGAGACACAGAGAGCTGAGAGTGTCAGCCACCCTGACCGTCAACCCTCATCAAGGTGAGTCGTGGTCACTCCATTGCTGGATCAAGGGCCAACTCTGTGTGTGTCTGTGTGTGTGTGTCTGTCTGTGTGTGTGTCTGTGTGTGTCTGTGTGTGTGTCTGTGTGGGGAGCGATAGTGTAGCGGTTAGCGCTACGCTGCGCTATGAACCTGGCGACCCGGGTTCGATTCCCGCTCACGGCCAACACCAGTGACGATTATCTGAACCGGTCCTGGGCCTCCCCTAGGTCGACTCAGCCTGAAATGAGTACCTGGTGCGGTGTGTAAACATTGCCACTAGGGAGACAAAGGCGGTCGGGCGTGGTGCTGGCCACCAAACCCCCTCGTGTACCGTTCCGGCCTTCATAGGTGCTCGCTAACAGCACTTGCCCCTACAGTCTGTTAAGGCTATACGGGGGATCTTTGTCTTTGTGTGTCTGTGTGTGTCTGTGTATGTGTGTCTGTGTGTGTCTGTGTATGTGTGTCTGTGTGTGTCTGTGTGTGTCTCCCTCCCCGTCTGCCGCTCTCCTTCCTACACAGCACGAGGCCTGATGTCGCTGTGGTCTCCTCCTCCTGTTGTTGTTGTTGTCGTTGTTGTTGTTGTCGTCGTTGTTGTTGTTGTCGTACAGCTGCTGTTGCTGATGTAGATGCAGTGATGGTACCCGCAGGTCTCCCACCTCCTCCTCCTCCTGTTGTTGTTGTCGTTGTTGTGGTTGTTGTCGTACAGCTGCTGCTGCTGATGTAGATGCAGAGACAACAACGATGACTACGATGTCACATTCAGGTGCAAGCCCAGATAACAACCACGTCAGGAGTAGTAGTAGTGTAGTAGTAGTGTAGTAGTAGTAGTGTAGTAGTAGTGTAGTAGTAGTAGTGTAGTAGTAGTAGTGGTAGTAGTAGTGTAGTAGTAGTAGTGTAGTAGTAGTAGTAGTGTAGTAGTAGTGTAGTAGTAGTAGTGTAGTAGTAGTAGTGTAGTAGTGTAGTAGTAGTAGTGTAGTAGTAGTGTAGTAGTAGTAGTGTAGTAGTAGTGTAGTAGTAGTAGTAGTGTAGTAGTGGTAGTAGTAGTAGTGTAGTAGTAGTAGTGTAGTAGTAGTAGTGTAGTAGTGGTGTAGTAGTGGTGTAGTAGTAGTAGTGTAGTAGTAGTAGTGTAGTAGTAGTGGTGTAGTAGTAGTAGTAGTGTAGTAGTAGTAGTGGTAGTGGTGTAGTAGTAGTAGTGTAGTAGTAATAGTGGTAGTGGTGTAGTAGTAGTAGTGTAGTAGTAGTAGTGTAGTAGTAGTAGTGTAGTAGTAGTGTAGTAGTGTAGTGGAGTAGTAGTGGAGTAGTAGTAGTAGTAGTAGAGTAGTAGTAGTGTAGTAGTAGTAGTGTAGTAGTGGTATTGTAGTAGTAGTGTAGTGGGAGGGTGTGTGTACCTGTGTGTGTGTGTGTACCTGTGTGTGTGTAACTGTGCGTGTGTGTACTTGTGTGTTTGGGTAACTGTGCGTGTGTGTACCTGTGTGTGTACCTGTGTATGTGTACATGTGTGTGTGTCTACCTCTGTGTGTCTACCTGTGTGTGTACCTGTGTGTGTGTACCTGTGTGTGTACATGTGTGTATGTACATGTGTGTGTGTGTACCTGTGTGTGTGTGTACCTGTGTGTGTGTCCATGCCAAGTGCTGTTGTTTTCAAATCCCTGGGGCACAGGTGCGTATTTATAGATACTGGGTGTGACACTCACGGTTTAAGGTCGGTTGCCATGGTTATTTCAGCCTGAGAGCCAGGGTTGAGCCTGAGAGCCAGGGTTGAGTGTGGGAGCCAGGGTTGACTGAGAGCCAGAGTTGACTGTGAGAGCCAGGGTTGACTGTGAGAGCCAGGGTTGAATATGGGAGCCAGGGTTGAGAGGGAGCCAGGGTTGAGTGTGGGAGCCAGGGTTGAGTGTGGGAGCCAGGGTTGAGTGGGAGCCAGGGTTGAGTGTGAGAGCCAGGGTTGAGTGTGGGAGCCAGGGTTGAGTGTGGCAGCCGGGGTTGAGTGTGGGAGTCGGGGTTGAGTGTGGGAGTCGGGGTTGAGTGTGAGAACCAGGGTTGAGTGTGGGAGCCAGGGTTGAGTGTGGGAGCCAGGATTGAGTGGGAGCCAGGGTGAGTTGTGGGAGCCAGGGTTGAGTGTGGGAGCCAGGGTTGAGTGTGGGAGCCAGGGTTGAGTGTGGGAGCCAGGGTTGAGTGTGGGAGCCAGGGTTGAGTGTGGGAGCCAGGGTTGACTGTGAGAGCCAGGGTTGAGTGTGAGAGCCAGGGTTGAGTGTGGGAGCTAGGTTTGAGTGGGAGCCAGGGTGAGTTGTGGGAGCCAGGGTTGAGTGTGGGAGCCAGGGTTGAGTGTGGGAGCCGGGGTTGAGTGTGGGAGTCGGGGTTGAGTGTGGGAGCCAGGGTTGAGTGTGGGAGCCAGGGTTGAGTGTGGGAGCCAGGGTTGAGCGTGGGAGCCAGGGTTGAGTGTGGGAGCCAGGGTTGAGTGTGGGAGCCAGGGTTGAGTGTGGGAGCCAGGGTTGAGTGTGGGAGCCAGGGTTGAGTGTTGGAGCCAGGGTTGAGTGTGGGAGCCAGGGTTGAGTGTGGGAGCCAGGGTTGAGTGTGGGAGCCAGGGTTGAGTGTGGGAGCCAGGGTGGAGTGTGGGAGCCAGGGTTGAGTGTGGGAGCCAGGGTTGAGCGTGGGAGCCAGGGTTGACTGTGGGAGCCAGGGTTGAGTGTGGGAGCCAGGGTTGAGCGTGGGAGCCAGGGTTGACTGTGGGAGCCAGGGTGGAGTGTGGGAGCCAGGGTTGAGTGTGGGAGCCAGGGTTGAGCGTGGGAGCCAGGGTTGACTGTGGGAGCCAGGGTGGAGTGTGGGAGCCAGGGTTGAGTGTGGGAGCCAGGGTTGAGCGTGGGAGTCGGGGTTGACTGTGGGAGCCAGGGTGGAGTGTGGGAGCCAGGGTTGAGTGTGGGAGCCAGGGTTGAGCGTGGGAGTCGGGGTTGACTGTGGGAGCCAGGGTGGAGTGTGGGAGCCAGGGTGGAGTGTGGGAGCCAGGGTTGAGCGTGGGAGTCGGGGTTGACTGTGGGAGCCAGGGTGGAGTGTGGGAGCCAGGGTGGAGTGTGGGAGCCAGGGTGGAGTGTGGGAGCCAGGGTTGAGTGTGGGAGCCAGGGTTGAGTGTGGGAGCCAGGGTGGAGTGTGGGAGCCAGGGTTGAGTGTGGGAGCCAGGGTTGAGCGTGGGAGCCAGGGTTGACTGTGGGAGCCAGGGTGGAGTGTGGGAGCCAGGGT